TGTGATTTTGCTCTCTCTCTCTCTCTCTCTCTCTCTCTCTCCCTCCCTCCCTCCCTCCCTCCCTTTTTCTCTGAAATCAATGAAAATATATATTTTTTAAAAAGATGAATCCTTTTATTGTGTTGTTTATTCAATAAACTTTTATTGAGCACTTGTTCTATTTCAGGCACTGTCTAGGTTACTATGGATACTGCAATAAAAAAGACATGGTCCCTTGTCTTGGAGGAACCACCTGCTGGTCAAGATACCAGAGAGTAGAGAAGTGATTAGGATGCAATTGATAGATGTGGTAATGAAGGTAAGAACTAAGTAATTTAGGTACACAGGTGAGGGTCCAAAATATAAACCGTCTTTGTATTTTATAGCAACTTTCCTAATAACTTTTTAAAGCTTGTTCAGTAGCTTTACAGTGTCCTTAAAAACTAGACGGGACAGCACCATTCACATTTTACAGGTTATAAGACATTGATGCCCATCTCGAAAATACTTTAAAAAATCAATAGGACTCAGAAAAATTAGGACCCAGGATTGACATGTTGCTTAATGTACATTTCCCAATCCCAATCTTCCTATTGCCCCTCTCCATCAACAGATTTGTAGAATACAAGCATCTTTCTGCAATAGATTTTATTTGCCTCCCCACCCCTGGCCCCGTGCAGATACAGATTATATCTAAATCAAAATAAAGAGGAGAAGCTGTCTCATTTCATTTAATCCTACCTGAGTTCAAGTTTTTCAGTTTGTGCCTAAGTGATTTTATGGGAAGATCATAAGCAAGCACACCTGAGTGAGCATTCCAACTATTCACATCTCAGTCTCTGAACTACAGTTTCTTCCTTGACAAAAACGGAAACATTACCTATTACCTGCTCCTTGTCAATTTTAATGATGATTGATGTGACTGAGTATATGAGTGCCTGACACACTACACTGGCACTGGATAAATGCTAATTTCCCCCCTTTTTTGCCTCCTTGCTCTTTTATAGCAAGCAAAAATGAGTAATTTAGAACTGCTGAAGCATAAAATTATTTTTTTAAATAATAGCTTGTTTAATCTTTGGCTATAATACTCAGGTCTGGCCATATACGCAAATCTATTCTCATTCAGTGCTAGAAGATATATTTCTTTTTTTTTGGGGGGGGGGGTTGGGGGGATGGTAAAGAAGATTTCTTTATCCATGACTCTGATTACAGAAAAGAATACAATATCAGGATATTGAGCATCAGATTCTAGAGTGTTGAAACTTAAAACACCTTTTATCATGAAAAACAGCCTAACGTAACCACATTGGTGCCCAAGTAAGCAGCGTGGCCAGTTTTCAACCAGACACCAAGCACTTGCTGGGAAGCCACTCTTAACATTCCTTCCAAATTTACTCCAAGCTTTGGTAACCTGACAATTAATACATAGCTAGCCTCCTCCCTTTTTATAATAACAGACATCTTACCTGTTCCACAGAACCTTAACAAGTGCTAATTTATTCTGATAGTTAGCCTACATATTTGGAATGTTTTCAAGTCATGTATACAATTAGATCCTTAATAAATGTGTTTTTATTTTGAGAAGAATGACCGATCAATTGCAGTACTCAAGTACATAATGTGCCTGAAGCTGACCTGTGCTCTTTGTGCTACCACACCTTGTACCATGGAGCTACATGAGTCAGTCAAAGGGGTGATTCATTCTCTTTGAAAATGAGTCAGATTGACAACTGACAGCTAAACGCACGTCTCCTGTCGCTCATGGTTTCTTAGACCAAGGGTCAGCAGCCTTTCTCAAAGAAGTTTGCTAAGTATATACTTACTCATTCACTCCTAAGAGGGAGTCATTGAGCCTGGAGAACAGTCAGGAAGCAATGCAGTCCATAATCCAAGAGAAAAAAACCCTCATTAATCTTCAAGAATTTTTCCCAACTTCCCATAAGAAAATCCCTTTGGGAAAGAACCACACCTTAAAATCTTAAATGCTACCAGGCTGGTGGTGTTCAGTGGTTGAGTGTGGACCCATAAACGAAGAGTTCACCAGTTCGAGTCCCTGTCAAAGCACATGTCCAGGTTTCAGGCTCAATCCCCAGTAGGGGGTGTGCATGAGGTAGCCAATCAAGGATTCTCTCTCATCGTTGATGTCTCTATCTCTTTCTTCTTCTCTGAAATCAATTTTAAAAAGTGAAAGAAAATTAAAACCTTACTCTGTAATACTCTATATTATCCAAGGGCCCCTTTACTCTTCCAATACTAACAGAGCTAGCTATCTTGGGGTCCCCTAGTAAAAAATTAATATATTTCAAGTCAAAATCTGTTGTATTACCCAGCAGTGTTCACTTTCCTAATTTTTATAGGGTAGACTGCTATTTTTGAGCACAGAAAATGTGATACTGACATTCATTGTCATAAATTTGCTCTTCTCCAAAACCATGGGAAACCACGTTATGTGCGCACGCGGACACACACACATGCACATGAGCACACTTCTCTCCTTTCCCGCCCTTATTATTTTATCATCTCCATTTGCAATTCAAGTTAAAACAGTATCGATGAAAGGCAAAAAGATATAGGCATACTGAGAATATGTACCCAAGTACTGTTCTGCTTTGGTTAACTACCCTTAGGGTCTTTTCAGTTCTCAGAAAAATTCTACATATCAGAAATCTAGATACTTTTGTCATATATATACTTATATTATTGGATTACTGCATATTAGAGCACATTCCAGAACACATTAAACAGTACATTAATGTATTCTTATATTTCACATTTTAGCCATATTAAGCTTTAAATTTTTTTATTTTTATTTTTATTTTCTGGCCTAAAATTTCCATTGGCTTTCCATTGCCCTTAGAATATAGTTCCCGATCCTTTGGATGACTTATGTGATCTGGTCTTTGCCTGCCTCTTCTCCGACCTTAGATAATGTATGTAATGAACTTAGCAGTTTCGGGTACTTGAAGGCACTCAACACGTGGTGCTGCTCTCTTTATGCAAATAAGGTGAATCAGAGCTCCACACTCTCAACTTCACACTGTAATTAATAGGAATTAAACTTGTTTTTCTAAAAACACACACAAAATGTTGTAAAATTGCATTTGCAGAGAGAGCAGTACACAGCACACTGCCTCAAAACCATATGACCAATTGCATCTTGACCAAATATAAATTGCCGAGAGAGAAAACAGTTTCCGTCTACTTACAGAGGATGTCTCAGTTCATTATCAGTTTTGTCTGAATGAGATGAGATCCAAGATCTGCCAAAGCTAAAGAGGATCAGGAGGCTCATCAGGAGCAAGACCACTGTCTGCTTTCTTCTGTCTTCTTTCAAACTGACATCTCTGGAATGGTTCTCTGGCTCTCTCTCTCTCTCTCTCTCTCTCAAGCTGTAAGCTTGTTATTAATGTCCCTCAAGTAAGTGATCCAATACTTTCTCCAATTGGACATGTATGGTTTTAGTTCTTTAACAATGTCCCTGTGGTGGGACCAAGTCTTATAGGAGTGCCAAATATGGGAATGCCACCATTTCCAAAATGTAGTCAGCAGTGGCCTAGATGTTACAAAGATTATTAAATGAGGAAAGAGTTGAAATTAATTTTCTATAAATATTTGTGGACAGCCAAGTTTAAGCATTAAAGCATAGTAGGAATCTTAGGTAGAGTCAGGAGTTCAGGGTCTATAGGGGATGCTCCACTGATGATCAATTCCTGTCTTTCTCTACTCGTTCACAACAAATCCAAATCTACATTTTACTTCTGGGAAGTTCAATCCAGATGCACACATCCTGATACTGAGGAGAAGGCTTGATGAGTGACGGATCCTCTAGAATTGTAGTGTTTCCTTTTCCTTTCATTCATCCAATCTCCAAAAATATACTGAGAATTTTTTACATAAAGGGTCATAGGCTGGTCCTGGGGTAGAAATGTGTATACAGTCTTGCTTTCAGAATTTAAAGTTTAGAGGAGAATCAGATAAGCGGGGGCAATTATAGAGGATAAATCTGTGGT